GGTATGTAGAATTATTATTGAAATAAAGGAAAGTTTTATCTTAATAATAAGTTGCATTAGTCTGTGTCCTTCAAGAAACAGACATCACAATGGGATTAGAAATGGGGACAGAGCAGGGGGAAAGGGACAGCCTGCAGACTGTGATGCAGGCATGGCGCCTAAGGAGGAGAGATGGAAGGGAGAAGAATTGGGGTAGGAAGTCTCTGACTTCAGCACTGTTTCAAGAAAGGTTTGGCAAGGCTAATGGGAAGCCCCATGTCCATGTGTAAGTCATCTTGTTAAATTGTTTCCAGCCCCCCACAATGGTCAGTTGCTGCCTGGGAGCCATCACAAGAAGCATGACCTTGTTGAAAGGTGCGTCTAGAGGGATAGCAGCTGAAGTTGTCAATTGCATTCTCTGCAAAAGGAGAGCTAAGCAGAGCATTTTCATGTTTGTAATTTAAGGCCCAACAAGCACTGGAGGAAGACTGAACATTTTTCTCAATGATATGTGAAATCTAATATTTTTGTATGAGATTCATTCTGGAGATGGGATAAGCCATTTAAAACTTTCTAAGAGCTGCACAAATCTATATTGTGATCTGCAAGAATCACAGCTGGAAATAAAAGACATTTTAATTGCAGGAATGTTACTGAGCATATACCAGATGATGTTGCAAAAGTCATATTTGGAAATCTACAGATGATGCTGAATTAAGTGGAATGGTAATAATGAGCACAGTGTATTCATATACGGAATGACTCCAGCCATTTAATTACGGTGCTGGGCTAACATGATAAATGTACCTGGACACAAATCAATGGTAAATGATTCCCAGAACAAAGTATTCAAGAAAGCCATGTTTACTAAATAGAATCGTGTTTGCAATATGTATCCAGAAATAATTCTGACATTAGAGCCTAGAGTTGAGGCAGCAGAATTCTAATTATATATTGAAAAAGGCTCTGGTAGATGAATTGAGCTACTTTCTGGTTACAAATGTGCTATTTTGGCAGGTTCTATGAGGCTCAGAAATACTATTAGTGCATAAATTGGCTCAGTATGTCTTAGGGTAGAAGAATAAATACTTTTTCTCTTCCTCTACTGAAATCTAAACACATCTGCATTCATACAGGTAGAAAGCCCAGCAGGTAAGCCTGCATCCCTCTTTCTCAGGCTCTTTCCCAAAGAGAAGTATGGATGTTACCAGGGGGAAAAGTCACAAAAACACTGAGGACACTCCACCATGTCTGTGACACTCCCAATGAGCTTAATCAGAGACAACTTCACTCTTGTTGTCATTATTTTTTAAGTGCAGGCAGTGAGTGGAACTTCATGGACATTTTATTTTTGAAACAATTAAAATATATTTGTAGCAGACAGCTGAAAAAAGTATATATCTAACAATTACTAATATATTAACTGAATAAAAATTACTTTATTAAAATACCGCTTTTAAGAACCTATATAACTAAAGAATGCAGTAAGAAGTCAATATAGAGTGCATTTGTTTTACTTTGAACTACAAGACATCTCATCAAACAATGAAAAACAGTCCCTGTCTGTTTTGGGCTCCCACCCATATCCTTTACTCAGGATTGTAGATTTTAGGAAGCTGACTCTATCCCAAACCCAATAATAGAACATGTGAGCAGTGCCTATGCACCAGTTAGCTCATTCCACCCCCTAACACTGGATGGTTTGAGGATGGGCACAGCTTCGACTAGGCCAATCTGAATGTCTATGTCTCAATAAGAATACTTTAGTTTGAGCCTTTGAGGGGGTGGATTTACTCTCTGCTGCTGAATATAAACTTTAGTGGCTGTGCGAACTGGACCAGTTCCCATCGTGTTGCTACAAGGTGGGACCTGAGATGGAAGCCAGCCCAGTAGCAGGTAGAGCCAGAGTCAGAGCATAAAGTGAGCCCTGAAATTATCATCGAACCCCCAGCCCAGCAGTACTGCCGCTAGTTCTCTCCCTGGCCATTTCAGTAATGTGAGATAATAAATTCTCTCTGTATTAAGACAGTTTGAATTAGATCTTTCAAATTACCTGACAGTGGGTAGGATATGGAGAGGGTGGGATAAAGGACATTAAAATGACAAAGTCATGGGAAATAAACCAAAAATTTACTTCCTGTTAAATATCCCATCATCCTTCTTTAATAAGTGAAATAACTGAATGAGCTAGAAATGCTTTTAGGGCTCCATTTTAGAATATAAAAATAGGAAGATGGGTGTCACAGAGAGCAGCAAGAAGAGAGAGTATTTCACGGTGGAACCAGTGGTTAACGGTTTCAGCTGCTATATAATATTTAGGCTAACTAATGCCCATGTGATTCAGTTTTATGGGGATCATTTATGTATGTATTAAGAGCTGTGTCAATGAGTATAACAAACATCACAATCAAGGTGTTATCTTAAAAATAAGGCCAGAATCTCAGTATTAGCGCACCCTGTCCTATTTTTTTAACCTAACAATGAGCACACCCCAAAGCATTCATTGCAAACCCTAATGAAACCTATTCCATGAGGTGTACATTGAAATGTAAATAATGATGTTTCTGTTTTGAAATGATCCTTGAGTGGAAATAAGACTTGAACAGATGCTGTTTCTAAACGCAGGGCGTGATCTGATAATATTGTCATTGCCTAGCGGGAACTTTGTTCTGATTAAACATTCATAGCATTTGCACCTAAAAATAAAGCAGGGTGTGGTGCCCCTAAAATGGGGGCAACCAAATTAAGCAGGTGTCCACCAACACTTAGAGCTAGTCTACTGAGTTCTCTGATTCAGAGGAAAACTTAGCCAGACCTGTTTGGGTAGCACCTCCTAAGGAAACAGGAGCTGGGGAATTGGGCTTGGGCTGCCTAGTTAAGTTGCTTCTTAAGTCCATTTGCAGTTAGAGGCAGGTGGTCTAGAGACCTTATCCTCACCCACTTTCTCAGCCAGCAAGTCCCTAAAAGCGGTTCCTTAAAAAGAATGTGGTATTTAGCAAAATAGAGATGAGATCATTATTTGGTGAGACAAAATTTATTTGACTGTGAGTCCTTGTGAAAGTGAGAAATGAAGCAGGCCAAACCTGTAATGTTCGCTGTCAGGTGCATCTGCACCCACACAATCTGTTCCCAGAGACATCTGCAGGCACAGAGCAAGTGTTGCTTTTCAGACCAAGTTTCTGTCTTCAGTTTAGGGAACAGCTGCTTCTATTTGGGAAAAGGGAAGAAGAGTATAAATTTCAAAACATGTGCCACAAACCCCTTCCAAACAATTCCAACAGTGGCAGACAGTGATCACTTTTTTTCTTCCTTCCCCCACAGATTCCCTGTAAAATGGCTCACTCATCTATCTAATAATAGGGTAATATGCAAATTAGTCAGGACACTATCACATAACAACCTACCAGGAGGCTGCGTTTACAGCAGGTGTGGGCGGGGACTTGTAACATCAGGGACAGGGGCAGGGAAAGTGGGCCAGTGGAGGGCATCTTATACTCTCCACATGGCGATGGCAGCTGTGAGCATTCCCAATGGCCACTGCCACTTGCCCAGGGCCAGCCTAGGGCTCCTACAATCCACCAACAGCTGCTGCTGCTATGAGGGTCCAAGGCTCAGGCAATGAGGACTGTGCAAGGCTCAGGCAAGTCACAGTGGCTGCAAAGGCCAAGTCTCAGGCAGCCTCATGGCCGGCAGTGGCAGCAGCAGAGATATGATGGGGCATCACTTTCCCCTGATTGTAGGGTTGCCTCCCTCAGAGGGAGGCCAGAGGCAGCAGCAGCAAGAAGGTGATGGGGATGGTGCCTTCCCCTGATTGGCCAGTTGCCTCCTGCAGAGGGAGGCCAGACTGCAGCATAACTGTCAGTAGGACATCCCCTGAGTACACATGGACTGTGAGAAGGGGCAGGCTGGGCTGAAGGACCCTTGCTCCCCATGTACGAATTTTGTGCAGAAGGCCTCTAGTTTAAAAATAAAACACACACACACACACACACACACACACACACACACACACACAAAAGAAATATACACTGATAACCTATTGTTTGTTAAGATAGGTACTGAGATGTAAAGGGAAGACATGTATTAACCTTTACCTCAAGAAGTATACATTGTGTAGGACCAGGCACACAATTAAGTATATTACAATTTGAAAATGATCATTGATATAACAGAAGTATAATAGAATGAACATGAGAATGCAAACTCCTGCGTAGAGTAGGAGGAGGCTGACTTTAGAGTATAGAATATATATATGGACATGAACTTAAAAGACAAGTATATTTGAATAAAGAGGACCAAGGGTGCCTATGGGTAGAGGGAACTGATGAAAAAAAGAGTTGGAAAGATGAGAAGAGATTGCTCATTTAAAAAACAATTGTCTGGCCCTGGTGCGATTCCATCCTGTGGGTCTGTAAGACGTTTATCTCCAACTGCCTTCTCTCTCACCTAAGTACCTGCTACCATCCCACGGAATATTCTATGGACATGGACAGGAGCCCTCTGAGGCCCCAGAACTACTTTTTCGGTTGTTCACTACAGGTCGACAAAGATTGTCACTTTACGATGGAAAATGATGAAAAGGAGCACCAGTTATCTTTACGAACAGTCAGTCTAGGCGCTGGAGCAAAGGATGAACTGCACATTGTCAAAGCAGAGGCAATGGATTATGAAGGCAGTCCAACGAAAGTAACACTAGCAACTTTGAAAATATATGCATAGCTAACTGTTTCCCTTGGTGGCTTTGAAATAACACCACTTGTGGTCTTATGGTTGTGGTTCAGGGCCTGTGCATATTAGTGGACTGCACTTAGAGGCTGTGGAGGAAGATGTAGAGTCAGAAGATGATGAGGAGGAGGATGTGAAACCCCTAAGTATGTCTGGAAAGTGGTCAGCCCCTGGAGGTAGTAGCAAGTTTCCACAGAAAAAAGTAAAACCTGCTGCTGATGATGATGAGGAGGAGGAGGAAGAAGCAGAAGAAAAAGCTCTAGTAAAGAAATCCATAGGAGATACTCCAGCCAAAAATGCACAAAAATCAAATCAGAATGGAAAAGACTCAAAACCATCATCACCAAGCTCAAAAGGTCAAGAATCCTTCAAAAACGGGGGCGGGGGGAACTCCTAAAACACCGAAAGGACCTGGTTCTGTAGAAGACATTAAAGCAAAAATGCATGCACGCATAGAAAAAGGTGTCTCTCTTCCCAAAGTGGAAGCCAAGTTCATGAATTATGGGAAGAACTGTTTCCGGTTGACTGATGTGGAGGTGATTCAAGATCCCTGGCAGTGGAGGAAGTCTCTTTAAGAAAATAGTTTCAACAGTTTATCAAAATTTTCCATCTTATTGTCAAGTTATTTAGCCTCATTACATTTTTACTAGTATGTATGTGCATAGATGGCAAGATATTTTATTTAATTTCCCCCGTTTCTCCTTCCCCTCACTGTTCCCTTTTTGCAACAGATGCATGCTTGTACTTCTTTGTCTCAGAGGAAAACAATTGGCAAAATAGAAAGTTAAATCCATCTGTTTTGCCTTTGAAGAAAATAGAGATTCCCAGGTGTAGACAGTCTTCCTTGAAATAACCTACAGGGATTACTTTTCCGAGAACAGGAGAGAAGTCTAGAGCTGACAGAGGAGCTGGTATGGGGACTGGCCTATTGTTTTCTTCTTAGCAGCTCTGAAAGGCCCACAGGAGGATTGGAGGTAAAGAAGATAAACCAGAATCATAGAGTCTAAAGCTGACCCAAGCATGACACAAGTTAAGTCTGGGGTGAGGGTTAGGGGCAAGCAGCCTGTGATGGTGCAATCTTTGTACAGACTGTCTGACTTTAGGGCAGGAAATACCACTATCACAACTATTGAGATCTTCTTGAAGTCAGCTGAGGTCCCAGAGGCATGAGACACCAGGAAAGATGGAGGGCTTTTCTTAGCCTGCCAGTGAGCAGAATGGTTGTGCAGAATTTGCTATTGAGTTTTTTAAAATGAAGAAAGTAAATTGGCTTGCTCATGTGAGCTTTTGACTGTATAGTAGTTATACATTGGCTATAAATGAAAATGAAGAATTTCAGAAAATCAGTGATGTAATTCTTTTTCCCCCTCTTTTTTTGCTTTCTTTACCTTGTTACAAGGTTAAACAAAAAATAGGGTAGAATTGGTTTTCAAACTATCCTTCAACTCAGTTTAAAAAAAATTAAGGCTATAATATCCACTAGAAGTCTCTGTAAATCTAGGCCATGTTTGTTTACTCAATTTGTCTCTATTGTTCACCTGAGACTCATCCTGAGATCCCTTCATCACCTGCCTTCTTTCTTTGGTTTTCAAGAAACCAAATTTCTTCACATCATCCTCTTCCTCCCAAAGATTATTCTAAATTCCCTTTTCTCCATCTCTATGAAAATCCCTAAAACTCATTAGAACTCTCTGTCTCATGGAATTGATCTGTTTATGTAATTAAAGTCTTTCAGAATAAGGCTTGAGAGAACACATACTTTCCATAAGACATTTGCATTTTGTGAATATAAATAACATACCAGTTATTAGAAAGTGTGAGGAAAATATGTTTAACTCAGGACAATGCCTTGGGCCCCTGTGTGTTTAATACTTGGTTTTGCAGGATTTCACAAAAATGAGATCATCTCTGCTGCTCCAAGTAAAAATCTGCTCTTATCCTTGGAAGTTAAAGGAGCCCTCAAACAATATCTTGAGGCTCTTCCAATAAAAAAAGTATTATTTCAAATACATTAGCCCATTTGATCTTCACAGTCAACCTTGAAGGAAGGAAGGACTGGTACCACCACACTTAAATGAGCTAATACCAGCTGCTCATACCTTCAGCTGTTAAATGTGCAAGCGTTTGCTGAACTCAAAATTTTGTGGACAATATTTTAGCTGTTTTTATTAATGTGATCATCATTATTAACTCTGAAGAGATTTATAATTTTATTCTACAATGTTAAGTAACATTCATTTTCCTCAGAATAATAAATGTATAGGAAAAAATTAGATTAGTGTGACTTCAAAGGTTGACTAGTTTAATAGTTACTTAGAGGCTTCTAGTTCTTACTGAGTAAAGGCCAGAAACTAGCTACTGAAAAATCAAATATAACATGCCTGCCTACGTTTAAAGGGCTCTGTTCACACTCATAGGTTCTCAGTGCCACAGTGAAATCCCCTTCACTGTTCTTCACTTAGAAATTCACCACATGTTAAAATCATAGCTACCAATTGCTAAAGCTGAGAGCAACCTTAAAAATGGCTTATAGCACCCCTTATTTTTCAGATTTAGGAGGTCAAGGGTCTAAAAGCCATAAAATTAACAGATTTTCTGCAGTCCACAAATAAATACAGACACAGATAGAAAACTGGCCTTATGACTTGGTTTCCTAATGCAAATTCCAAGACACTTCTATTACCTAGGTTGCATACCACAGACTAGTCTATGGCCTGGATCCCACACTATAATTAGGTAGGTTAGCACCCACATACTGCCACTTCCTCATAAGCACACGTTTTAATTTTTCTCTATTGAATTTAGAGAGGAAGGGAGAGGTATAGTAAAACATCAATAATGAGAGAGAATCATTGATTGGATGCCTCCTGCATGACCCCTGCTGAGGGTGAAGCCCACAACCTGGGCATGTGCCCTCACCTGGAATTGAATCAACACCTCTTGGTTCATAGGTCCACAGCCAACCACTGAGCTATACTGCCTGGGCACAAGCAAACACTTTTAATGCTACTTCTCTCTCTGAAAGTCAATATTGATGTCTTTCCCTCTTCCCTTCTCATTAATCAATCTTGTCTATTAAAGAAAACCAAGAGTCAAAAAAAAATAGAATCATGAATTAAGAATTTGGTATTGGAAATTAAACTTGCATTAAATGAGTTAATATAGAAAAAAAGTGCTTGGAATAGTGTTCCAGAAAGAGTGAGCTCAAAATACACACTCACAATTATTTCATTCCTGGGTGGGCCAGCACTGACACTCAAAGTCCTGTTTTTAGTCTTTGGTGCCATAGTGGTGGACATCCAGACTGGCAAAGTTCAGATTTGTCTTACAATCTACTAGCACTTCTGAGATCTGACCCAAAAGCAAATTAGTGTTTGTGAAAACTTTGTTCATGAAGAAATAGGCTATAGGTAAGGGGCTCTTTATTTCTGTCCAAAACAAGATCAGGGCAAGAGGTCATGAGAATCACAGATGCTGCCTTTTATAAAATAATGGTCTAAAATGGCTGGGAAAAATGACTAGAGGGACATAATACTTTATACTCACACCTTTCTTGCCCTTCTATTTCCCTTTGCTGTCCAACAAAGGCCTTTACAGTTATTTGAGGATCTTTGTTCTGTGTCATCTGTCTTAAAACATGTTTTATGTAAAAGTCAGCCTGGATTCTCTTTCCTACACTATAATTTTTTATCTCTCCATGTCCTGGGCATGGCCAGGCTATATACACAGACTTCCTTGGGAGAATGTACTAACTCCTCATCTTTTTGCCATTCTCTGAGTCTGTCTCTATTTCTTGCAAATATCCCACTGTTGGTTCAGTGGTGTCAAGCCATTAGTTGAAATGGCAAACAATCTGTTATGTGTGTGAAGATGTATAGCAGAAAATGATGCTAAATTGCACCAGTAGGAACGTAGCTCATCTTAAGGAGCAGATAGAATTGATCATTTACCACACTATCAAAACTTAGTGCTTGATTTACTTTTGTCCTAGGGACTGTGGCTCACGCAGCAGATAACCAGAGGAAGTATCCCTCCCTTATAGAATTACACTGCTTTCTTTATCAACATGTCCCTGATTGTCACCTTATTGTAACAGGATCATGCTTCCTTCTGAGATAGATAACAGAGCACAAGTACCCTCAAATAACACCAACAAACTTCCCCTGAGTCCTCCATGAGGCCATTCATCTCTTGAAATACATTTTTAACAGTTTCAAAACAAAGAAACCCAGCATATGGTAGTTCATTAGGATCTTAATGACTCTCTACTTTGAAAAGGCAAATGATCAGCAAGCTGTTTCAAACCCTAACCTGCAATTTGAGAAGAATAATTTATTATCCAAACACAAATATTTTAATTAATCACAACTTAACATTAAAGTCAGAATTCAGTTATGCTTCCAAGCCCATCTGTTGACAGGTATGTGCACATTCTCCTCTGCTGCTGACAAAATACTTTGTCTTATTTAAAATTAAAAACAGGTTGTTGCTTTTATTTTTATTTTTCAAAGTTAATTATATGCAGACAGTGTGTTATTCATTGAATGAATCTCAGTGGCTTTTTTAATCAAGTGCCTGCTGGGGTAAAAGCTATGAGACATTGCTATGAAAGAGTAAGGTGGTAGATACTGAAGACTGTAGCATAAAAAGCAGTTATCAAGTTGTCAGGCAGAGGATGAAATAAAAGTAAGTTTGCCTGATTAGCAATAATGACAAAAGCCATCTAATCTGCCATGAAACCGTGATCCCACGGCAAGTTCCCATCTCTTGATTTCTAGATTTCTGAACAAACTGGAATTCAGTTACTAGCAGTTTCAAACACACAGACTTAAACAGGTCTGGGAATAAAGTGCAATCTGAAACAATTTTGAGTGAACAAAAAGTAGAAGCCCTAAAGCACGTGTCAATAAATTTAAAATAATTTATGTATATCTCAAACATGCATTTACTAGAACAATGTTTCCCTAGCAAGCTAGGTTTGGAAAGCTTTCTGGTTCCAAGTTGATTCGGCCTGAGAACTTTAATGAACACTCATGTAGACTATAGGCTTAATTTGATGGAACAGATTTACATTAGACTACATGTCTGACCAGCTTAGAAAATAAGTAAATGGTAGCAAGAGGCTTTCTGGATGTCTCTTCTTAAAACTGTGAATCCATTCAGGCTTCATCTCAAAATATATAGACCTAGCAGATAGGCTTTATAAAAGACCTTTCAAATACTTTTCTTCAGAATCTCAATGATACAACACCTAGTTCAATCAAACCTTAGTGCTTTGAATGAAGATTTTTTTTCTTCTTAAGCCTTACCTCCCATACATGTTCACTTCCGGGTTCAATGTTAAGTGAAAGGTGAACATGGTGGATGGTGAGCTAAGTAGCCATCTCAGATGGTAATTTAAGAAACATTGAATTTATTTAGCTAAGGAAAGGGGCTGGGGAATGAGTTATCCAAAGGGAGGGGCTGCATAGCACTGAGCCAAGGGGACATTGGATCAATGAGGGCAGATCCAGGAGCTAGAGTTTCATCCTTATGTAGTCACTGGTGGGAATCTCTTATCCGCAGTGGGTCTGGG